TGTAAACTGCAACAGCAAATTACGCGGCTGACATTAATTCTTTTCCCATCTTTGATGAGTCTGCCCTTTATCCACCACGCGCGTGCAAAAAAAAAAAAGAAAAGAAAAGAAAAGGAGAACGAACTCGATCTATCTCACCTTGCTGATACCTACAGTTGTGAAGTTGTGAGGATTCTTTTTAGATGTCGAAGTTTCTTGAAAGTGAAGTGTACGTATAAGTTATCAGGCACCACTAGTTGAGTGCGTTTATCAAATAATAACATGAAATATTTATAAACGTGGAGGACGGAAGATGCTTAAATTAGACAGTTAAATAATAGGCTCTAGATCCCTGAAAAAAAAAATTAATGGATCGAGTGAAGAATATTATTATAGCTATGGACTTGTAGTTGATGATGATCTGTACGCCAAAATTTTCAGGCTATCCTGCCTGAGTTTTCTTGTGACAACTCTTCTTACCGGCGCTTAAATGCAGCGAAACAAAACAACAACTTGTGCGAGGAAGTTACTCTCCTCATCTGAATTTTCTCGCTCCTTTTCGTTCTGTTCAAGTTAAAGTGATTAGCCAAGAGCCCCCATCTCACCGCGCGTTTTCCCTCTCTTTTCAACCTAATTAAGCCTTCTATTAATCTACGATAACCGCGATTGAACTGCAAATTTCAGTCTCGTGTCCTTGTAGCACACTTTGAATCATGGAACAATTTGATGGACAGTAGTTGACATCTATGACTAGTAGCGGTTTTCTTCTTGAACTACGGCCAATGCTCAAAGTACGCTTCAGAATATATATATATATGTATGTTGCATTAGTATGATCTTTGGTACTTTGAATTCATTATGGACCTGCATCATCACTTTCTCCCTTACCGAAGGAATTTCATCGTAAATAAAGTAGCTTTCCAGTCGCACGCATATCCCACTCGCCGCTATATATGTTGGATTAAGATGTATGTTCAAGTTTTTGCTGGTCCCCATGATTACATAAGAGAACACTAATTATTGAGTAAATTAAGATTTTAATGCTGTACTCCTTCACCTGTTTCGGTTTACATTCACATGTGTAGACGATCGGCAAAGCCTGTAGGAAACACTACCTTTATTTATAAAATCACTAGCGTCACGCATGCTGGGTTGTTTAATTCTTCCTGCTTTAAAGGTAGAAGTGATCTTTTCGGGAAATTATTGATACAGGACTAGTACTCTCAGATCAGTTAGAAACTTTTTTTGTAATATTTGATAGAACTAATTATTGGTGAACATATAAATTTGGGTGGGCGACGAGCTGATGCGGTTAAGAGTTGTTCTATGTACTTGCATAGGAAAGTGCAACTTCCACTGCCGTATTATGTGCAGAAACTAATTTAGACAAAGTTTTGCTTCGAAGAATGGGTGTGAAATTCTCTCTTGATCTGGTCACAAATTTAGACAAATTAATTAGTTTTGTAGATGATATAATATTCCGGTTATTTGAATTCATTGATGGACCACCTTCACCTTCGCCCTCACCAAAGGAATTTCACGGTAAAGTAGCTTTCCAGTCACATATCCCACTCACCATTATGTTAGATTAAGCTGTTCTATGTACTTGCATAGGAAGTGCAAATTCCACTACTGCTATCGTGTTGAAGAAACAAATTTAGACAAAGTTTCT